AAAGCTACAAGCATTAATATTAACATATCTAATCCAATAAAAACATCGTTTTAACTAATGGAAAAAGAAGTATATCATCTTTAACCTGTACTTGCAAATATTCACTTTTCTTTCTTTTTACAATCTTATCTGAATGTACAATCCCCTTCATTACTTCACCATCTTTAGTTCTCATACCACAAGTTTGACCAATATAAAAATCTTTCATCACATTCTCCATAAAATAAAAGCACATAGGGAATCCTATGTGCCTAATAACTAAGATAAGAAATCAATAGTCCAACTAACACCAGCAGATACAGCAAAAATAAATATCATTTTTCCTATGTAATTAGTACTATTCCTAATTTTCTGCATAACTGTAACTACATTCTTTTTAACACCATAAATAAGATAAGCATTATGCCACCCATATATTGCAGAACCAATAATAAAAGCTAGGCATTGTACGACAATATAGGTGTTTGCATGTTGCATCAAATGTTCTTTTAGCACTACAAAACCTCCAATTCACTCTTATGAAAATAAACATTAGTTTCTAGGTCTTTACCCCAATCACCAATCCAATCTTTTATAAATACAGTTGAACCATAGTAATGACTTATGAAACTTCCTCTATTAGTGACCACATAAGCAGTCACTTCACATAATTCTTCTTCCATATTAATTCAGTTTCTTTCCAATCAACTTGAATAGTAAATATAACAGTCCAGTGATTGCAAGTCCAGCAAAAGTTACAAATGTATTAGAAGTTAAGCTTATTTGTGTTGCCAAGTTCTCAATAAAACCTTTGAAAGCATTATCTTTAATTGCCATTTCAACACCAATGAATGTAATTCCTAATGCACCAATTACATTTAATACTGGGTATTTCTCAACTAATTTCATCAATGCTTTAGATGCAAATAGTAAGATTGGGATAGAGATTAATACACCAACAATTGCTAAAGGATAGCTGTCAGAGATTTCAAATACTTTTCCAAACAATTCAAAACTATACAGAACATGTTGTCCTTCACCACTTGCACCAACTACTGCAAGAACATTATCTAGAGACATAGCAACATCTGCTAATACAATGGCAATAATTGCACTTTTTAAGTCACTTTTCTGTTCAAGACTTTCATCCCCTCCATGATTGTTCATCATTTCATACCCCAATTTCACTAACCAAAGACCAGCTAAGATTTTCAAGAATGGGATTTGCACTAAGATAAATGCAATAAGTAGGAATAAAATTCTTGCCAATACAGCAACAGACATACCCCATTTCATTGCTGTTCCTTGATGTTCTGGTTTTAATCCAGCACACACCATTGCAATAACTAAAGCATTGTCTACTGATAAGATCACATCAGAAAGAATAATTTTAAGCAATGCTTGCCAATCATTAATTAAGTAACTAAGTAGTTCCATTATTTATTCATCCATTTAACAAGGCTATTAGATAAAAACATACTGTATAATTCAGAGTCTGATTTGTTTTTAATATTTCGTAAATCTTCATGTGTCATATCAAAGTAATCAGTGTTTTCTTTACCTTTGAAGTTATCTTCTAAGTAACGCATTTTACCTTGACCAACAGAGATAAAGACAATGAAATGATCATCACGAATATTTGATTTTAAGTATTTAAAAGCTTCAGTACCATCATTTGGAATACCATCAGTTACAAAGAATGATAAATGTTTACCAATACCTGAAGTTTCATTCTTTAATTCTTGTTTTCCAAAAATTCTACCCCAAAAACCTTTTTCTTGTACTTTTGTTTTTTCTTGTCCATTTGAGAACAAATCTGCAAAAGCTGGAAGATAATTTGTTGACCAACCATTATAGTTACTTGCTGTCATAACCTCTTTCAATACATAATCTTGATAGTTATTTTCTGTTACTGGATTAAGTTCTTTCGATTCTTGACTGAAAGAGAACATATCTAAAACACCATCTTTATCAAACAACAAAGCAAATGGTAAGATTCTATTTAATAGATTGTTTGTATAACCTTGTTGATGTTCTAAGTGGAAACTACCAGACACATCGAGTTGAAAACTTACTTGGCAAGGAATAATCTCTTCAACACCACTTTTTGTTAACTCTAATACTAAGTTATCTTTACTAAGATTTAAATTTACTACAGACATTTTTACTCCAAATGAGGTAGGAATGACCTACCTCTTATTCAATTAAATATTAAAGTTGTTCAAGAACATGGTTAAAATTACCAACAATACCTGAAGTTTCAGCATTGTATCCCCACACACCATTTTGATTCTTTGTTACAGAGCCAAGATGTACAAGATTGCTATCTTTGAACTCATCAGTCAAGCTTGCTTCAATTAATGCAGTTCCATCTTCTTCACGGATAATAAGTTTAGCATCTTTCACCATTTCAAATGTATTAGTCATTGGTGGATGAATAGAAACAATAAAAGCAATTTCATCAATATTATCAGGAACTTTACTTAGATCAACCTCTAAAACTTCTTCAGGCTCTACTGCAAAGTTTGAAGAAGAACGCATATCACCTGTATGAGTCATATATTGTTCTGGTACAGTAAATGAAGAACCAATAGCACCTTGAGACAATGTTTTAGTTAAATCATCTGTAAGAAGAACAACACCTTTATTATATACTGAAAGGATACGTTTTGCTTCACCATTAATTGTACGAACACCAGCTTGTTTAGTGATTGCAATTGCATGTACATCTGCATCAACTTTTGATTTCCAGTATAATTCAGCAACAAACTTATTGTTTTTTGTCAAACCTAACTCAACAACATGTTTTGTTTCTTTAGTTAAATCTAATTTTACAGCCATTTCTTAATTTCCTTTCTTTAGTAGATCATTAAACTTGATCTGTGCATTGTACATAATTTTAAATGATTCGTCAATATCTTTTTTCTTTTGTTCTTTAGCATTTCTGATTTCATTATCAAATCTTTCTGCTTCAAGAACAAGCTTCTCCATAGCACTAGCTTCACGCTTACGATTACTTCCAGACAACAACTCTGCTTTTACAGCTAAAGCACCTGTAATTTCAGTAGCCATAGTGCCTTGTTGATCTTCAAGTAATTGAACAGCTTGGTTCTCTCTCAATCCACGTTCAGCTCTTAGTGCAACAGCAATTGTTGCTATGTTTGTTCTGATATTTGGTAGACTATGTGTAATAGTATTTTCAATTTCAGATAGTAAACTATAACAAACTTTAATTAGATTATCATTGTTTTTAACAGCAATCAATATCTGCATTAAACTTTTCTGCATAAGTAGACATTTATTGTCTATTAAAGATTCAATTCTATCATATTCAGTTATCTTTTTAGTAAATTCGATACTCTGATTATCTTGATTCATGTTTTTATATGTAGCCAAGTTTCTTTTAAAATCATATTGAACATACATTGCAATCATATATTGTAACCTTAAATCTTTTACTGCTTTGTAGTAAATTTCAAATGTTTTGTTCAATTGTTTGATGTTATCTTTTTGAACTTCTTTTTGTTTAATTAAATCATTTTCAATTCCATCAATCTTACCACTGACAGATTTACCTTTTCTGTCAATGATTTTACTTAATTCATTAACTTGATTGATAATATTTTTTTCTTTGTAAGGACTATTAAAAATACCAATAATCATTGCTAACAAAGTTGGTTTTGCATTAACTGCTTTCTGCCAAATCTCTTTCAGCTCAGATGGATTAACTGCCTTAGATAGGTCAGTCATAAGATCATATATACCAGTGTTCTCACTTGAAATTAGGTTAAGACCACTAATAAATTCTTTCATTGAGTTGTTTAGGTTTTCTAATTCCTTTTTCCCAATATTTTGAATCACTTCTTCAGTGACTGCATCAAGATTTGTTAAACTACTAGATACATAGACTCCATCTGCATATTTTAATTCATTCTCTTTTGGAAGAAGTATTTCATAAGTACCTTGTTTCTTTAATGATTCAATGATACCTTGTTGTCTGTTT